TTTTTTTTTTTGTCAGTCATAGGGCTTGAACTGTGGGATTGGGCGCTGTCCATGAGCTCTTCAGCTCAAGGTGAGCACTCTACTGCTTGAGCCACAGCGCCACTCCCTGTTTTCTAGTGGTTTATTGGAGATAAGAGTCTCACAGATTTTCTTGCCTGGGCTGGCTTTGAACCTTGATCCTCAAATCTCAGCCTCCTGAGTAGCTAGGATTATAGGCGTGAGCCACCGGCGCCCAGCTTAAACTTTATATTTGAAAATATTGATGGTAGACCTGTATAAAACAATGCACTTTTCACATGTAAATCAAAAATATTTACTAATTTCCATTATAGATAACAATCAGAAATATTTATGTACTCATTATTGTGGAATAAACTCATTCAAGTTTTAAAGTTGGTACCAATTTTTTCAGAAGTTTTTAATTGCATTTTAGAATACAGCAAAATTTGTTCTTTATATTTTGTTAGTTTTACACATTCAGTTGATCTGTTTCTTTTACTTTAGAAGTTAAAAAATATTAAATTATTTATTTTATCCCCTCATACCGTTGCCTATATTATTTTTACTGAGTGTCCTGTTGTGCCCATAAATGAGCATAAAAATTATGCTCATATGCAATAAAATTGTTACTTTAGTTTTATAAAATCTTTTTCCAAAATATATCAAATTTGCATATATCATGCGATCTTAAAAAATCCAAATATGTGTATTTGCTTTATACATGTTTTGCACTAATAAAAAGCTGTACAAATCATTCATATATATATATTATATATATACATATATAATTCCAAATTAGGTATAAAGCTAGGTATAAAAAGTTATTTCTGTAGTTTAAAAGCTACCTGTTAAGCGTATGATGTGTCAGGCATTATTCTACTACATACTGGAGATGCAGTAGTGAGTTTGACCAAGTTTCTCTGATAGTTCTTTTTGTCTTTGCTCAGCCTCTATGACCCCCAGTTTTCTCGATAGCACTTAATCCTGTCTATTTAGTTTTATGTTTAAAGTTTTTGCATGATCTTTTTAGCCCTGACTCTGTCTTCACCTTCCAATTGGATTATCGCTTACTAGGTTATCAAAAAATATTTTTCAAATGAATGATGGGCATGAAAACCAGAACCCAGAAGTATTTTGTATCCCAAAAGTCAAGTGATATGTTCTTAGAATATCCAACCTGTCATATGTTGATGGTGGCACAAAGAATGTGAAGAACAGAAAAGTGTATTTGCCCAGGTATAGCTTTAATAAGTTCTTTCAGCGGACATTTCAGGCACATGCCATAATGGAATAGACCCTGGAGCAAATAGCTATAGTGGAGAAGGTTTAAAATTGGGTATGAGGAAGCAGAGTATATTTAACTCACTCAAGGAATTTTTAGCTATAAAAAAATTGATCTTTCTAGAAGAAAGGTCATCAAATTTTCATAATTACTTATTGTATAATTTTATTAGGAAGTTTTCAAATGTACATAAAAGTGGGATAGTGAATCTCCTTATATGCTTTATCTATAAACAGTTTCAAAATTTTGCAAAGCCTACTTCTTTTTATGTTGCAGAAATATTTTAAACACATTCCACTGGTTTTCTATGTATATATTTTATTAATATCTCCAAAAATTAAAAAAGATGCTTTCTTACAAAACCTGATGTTATAATCACAACTGTTAAGTAATTGATACGCCTTAATACTCACTTCATATGCTTGTTTCAATTGTCCTTCAAATGAAAATTGTCTAAATTTGAATCGAAATTCTAATATAGTTGGATTATAATATCTCTTAGTTAAGTTTATTATATAGATTATATATATAGATTATATTATTTCTCCTTACCAATGAACCTGAATCAGTTTTCTAAACTGTTTGACATTTTCGACGGGTATTTCTGCTTCTCTACAGAATAATATTTCTGCTTTTAGAAATATCTATAATTGTATAGTGCAAAAATTTTATTAATTTTAGATTCAAATACTTTGTATATAACTACACAAAAGTATTTGAATACACATACAAAAGTATGTGTGTATATATATATATATATATATATATGTATACATATACACATATATATACAGACACACAAAAGTGTTTGAACCTAAAACTAATAAAACTTCTGTTACATATTACAATAAAAACGTTTGTTATATATTACTATATATATATATAGGTATATATAGACAGAGAGTTAAACTATATGTTGCATTACTTTAAAAGGTTCATATTGATTGTTTTCACATTTTCATCACATAAATGTTAACCCCTGAAGTCAGTCAGGAAAAACCTTGATAATTTCATTCAAAATTTGTCATAAACATTTTAACCAATGGTTTTATTCATTTATTATCTTTACCTAAATGGATTACCCCATTGGTTTTACAAAGACTAAATTTTCAATTCCACAAATGTCTTTAAATGTTAAAATGCTTGTAATATATTTTCTTATGATGGAATGTGCCAGTAAAAAAACACAGCTTAAAGAAAGGAGCTGAAAAACAGAAAGAACAAAATACATGATGAGTAAAGCAGGATTGAGCCCAAGAAAGAAGTGATGGAATGCTCTAGGTTGTACCTAATTTTAGAAATGTGCTTTTAGCCATTTGATTACCCATGAAATTAAAACTTTAAAGCCATCTCATTAGTTAGTCTTTGTAATTGATTTTAACCCTTCTAATGACATATTTTGTGATTTCTCCCTAAAACTATATACACTCATATTTTTACTTTTTACAAAATGTGAGCACATACTTTTAAAAAATGGATTTTCAACTCTTGTTACTCTGCTGCATAAAGAAATAAATACTACCGTCAAACAAAATGATAAATAACTGGCAGTTCAGTTTAGACAGTAATCGAGTTCTAAAAGCATTTAAAATAACAAAACCCAGCAACTTTTCATGATTTATATGCTCATTTGTGTTACAGGACTTTGATCATATTTGTGACAATTTTCCTTTTTAGTGACTTCCGTTAAAAATTATGACTTTTCTGTTACCTGAGTGAAAAGGCCGTTAGAAATGAGAAGAATATAATAGCATCCCATCTGAATATTTTGTATTTCTTAGTGATATATGTATGCTTTCTTTTTTTCTTTCTTTTACTGAAGTAATTCTAATGGAAATGAAATAATCTTTGGATTTTATACATGGTAAATGTCATTTTATGAACTCTAAATTGTCTCATACAGGCTTCCGTTTGATATTTGGCTTTGTGGACAATCATATTTCTCTCTGGATCAGTGATTTCTATTTGCTATCTGTTACTCTATACAATCTGGAGTATTGGGGTTACTGTGTGATTAGATATCATATGTATTTGTTAAATCAAAATTAAGAACAATATAAATTGTATAAAGTATTTATTCAGTATTACATTTTACTATTAAAAATAACTCTAAGTTAAACTATTTTGGGAACTACTGGAGAGTATTCTATGTTGTTTCCAAACACAGTAATGTGATCTGATCTATGCTTTGTCTACTGATCCAAATAAGGACATTTTACGTTAGCTATAATGATCAGTTCCTATCCTTTCTAGTTATTTATTGAATATTAATTCAATCTCATAATATCTCCTCTGAGTATTCCTATAAATTAGTTCATTTATTTAAGAATCACTAAGATACTTCACTATAGACAAAGATAAGAAGATTATTAAGAGAAACAAGAAAAATTAAGTACATAGACTCAAATTTCAGGTTTTATCCATCCTTACAAATGAAAGTTATACTTGCTCACTATTGAAATATTTCTGCAACCTAGGACATGTGAATTTTTGGACTGAATTAAAGTTTAACTATGCTTATTATTTATTATAATCATTTGCATGATCAAGTCCTATGATCTAAGTCTCTTCTAAAAGTATGGTAAATTGTTTATGTACTATAATCTTAAAGGCACTGTAAAGTTAACACCTGTAATATTAGTAGTTTCGTAACTGTGCTCTTTAACAATATTTTAAAACATTTTGCAGATCAGAATTTTGAAATACTACTACTACTATCCAAAGGAAATGTAGTAGGTACTTGAAAATGTTCATACAGATTTTAAAATTTTACAAATTTAAAATGTCATTTTTTACCAAAATAATTTGTCATTAGAAAAAAATGAAAAATGCATCTTGTGTTTTGGGTACAATAAGATTATTACTCTTGAATTACAGTCTGCTTCAGTAAACCTCACGGTAGTCTGAAAACCTAATAACATACTTTCATTGCCGTAGAGTCTATCTGTAAAACACTAATACTTTGCTCTATGTGATATATAAATACTACTTATTTAACCCTGATATTCTTATTAAAATTATGTCATTAATAAAGAGAACATTGATTGTTTATCCAGAACTATTTACTATATACCAGAGATTTAGACTGCTGGAATAATATAGCACAAAGCAATTATGCTATATTATATTGTCAGTATACAGCTGACATTCCAATGGAAAATTTAAAAGTAATGAAATATAAAATACCAAGTAGTGCCTCTTACTATGATTAAGAGATCTGAGAGTGTAAAGAGTGTTAGTAATTTAGAAATTTATCAGCTGTGAAGTTACCAAGATCTATCTCATTGTGAATAATTGTAACATTCGTGTTGGTTTATATATTTCTTTATGTAATAACTCTCTTACATTTATCTCCTTTACAGTGTTTACAGGTTAAGCTCTTTGAAAGATGGTTCTATAGATACTTACCTATGTGTTTCTAACCCCAATTTTTACTTGAATACTAAGTATTTGTTTTTTAAGTGAATAGGCATGGATAGAGTTCTGAATTTCTCTGGATCTCTGCTTCTTCTAAAGTTCAAGAACTCTAAAACCGCAATAACTACAATGAAAGAATAAATGAAAATGATATTATATACATAAATTATATTTAGCTTAACATTTAGAACTTAGAGCTATACATTTTATATTATTTTACTTATACTGTTTCATAGCTTTTCTGCTAAAAAAATGTAAAATGAGAAGATATATTCCCTGAAAATACATCTTCTATCCGCAGGTACTACTGAGAGAGTGTGCTTGATCCAGGGAACAGTTGAAGCACTGAATGCAGTTCATGGATTCATTGCAGAAAAAATTCGAGAAATGCCTCAGAATGTGGCCAAGACTGAACCTGTCAGCATTCTACAACCCCAGACCACCGTTAATCCAGATCGCATCAAACAAGTGAGTTTTTAGTTGAGAAATAAAAGAGCAATATCAACAACATACTATGAATTCCTTACAAAAGAATTAAGTGTTAGCATATATAGGTTTCTAAAGCAGATTTAAAACATAACAGTTGTCTATTAGCTGAAGACTATCAAGTTCTCTTTTTTTGACAAATTAATCTCTTAATTGACTGGATTTGTCATTTATTAGTGTTATTCTGAGGAACATTTATGTGACTATGGTCATCTCTTTGTAGATACAGATTTTATTAACTTACAGTAAATTAATCTGTTTAAAATTACATCACTTTTTATGTAAAATAAAACTTCTATGTCTTTAAATTTTCCAATAACCAGTCTCACCTGTAATACTAGCTGCTCAGGAGGCTGAGATCTGAGAATCACAATTCAAAGCCAGCCTGGGCAGGAAGTTTCAGTTGTGTGAGAATCTTATCTCTAAATAACCACTGAAAAGACAGAAGTGTAGCTCTGGTTCAAGTGGTAGAGTGCTAGTTTTGAGCAACAAGGCTCAAGGATAATACCCAGGCCCTGAGTCCAAGTGCCAAGATCAGCACATACATACACACACTCTCTCTCTCTCTCTCTCTTTCTCTCTTTCTCTCTCTCCTCTTCTCTCTCCCCCTCTCTCTGTTTCTCTCTTCTTCTGTCTCTGTCTCTGTCTTTCTCTCTCTCTATCTCACACACACACACACACACACACACACACACATACACACACACACACACACACACACATGCACACACTTTTTTTTTAATACCCAGTTAGTGATATCTGTAGTTTTATATGTAGACTCCTGTTTTGTTAGTCATGTTCAATATTTTTTAATCAAAGAATATGTGTGAGTTAATTTGTGCACCTTAACATGAAGTCCTTTGTTATAAATAAGCTATTATGTTTTGTATAACTTGTGTGGTATTTACATATATGTCATATAAAACCAATGTTGATTTTTAATGTATGGGATTTTCTGTGATGAAAGTTTTATTTGACAAAATTAATTGTGCTCTTTAAGATTAATTAGTAACTGACATCATTTAGGAGAAAATGACATTTAATGTTAAGATAGATTCTTCTTCCATAAACAATTTTAAATTAGATTTATTTGATATATTATGTGTATAATTAATGTTCCCACTTTTATTCAGAATTAAGTTTACACTCAACAAATTGTACTTTTTTGTTTTATTTTTATTAATATATCAAATATTTAATAGAATTTTGTGCTCACTGTAATAAATTTGAAGTGTAGCTCAAAGTTTAATTAATTTCATGTCCTGATTTTAAAAAAGAATGTTATCAATCAACGTTATATAAAACTAATCTGGCCAATATATAGATAATTATGATGCTAATAACAAAATTAAAAATAACTAGGAAATACTGTCAGTATCAAGTAATTCACTATGTATATCCTCCATGACTTTTAAAAGAAATATCACAATATATAAATGGCACCATATAAATATTTTAAAGATTAAAAGTTTCTCTTTTGTTCTCAGCAGCAACTTAATAATTTTAAAGTGCTTGATGAATCTATGCTAAGTGAATACAAAGCATAGTTTAAAGCCTTATAACATTAAAGTACTTCCTTGGTTTTATCCAGATGTTAATAGTTTATATCTATTTATAAATATATAAAATCACTGTGGGTGGCTAAGATCTTACAGAATGAGCACTGAAGTATAGTGTCTCTTCTTGCCTTAATCTAGCCAATTCTCTCTCTCTCTTTTATCTCTGTATCTCCTTCTCTACTCTATGAGCATTTAAACATTTAGGACAGAAGAGAACATTTGACTCTTAGAAACATAAATCATGATTTGAGTAGTATGATAGCATTACAACATATTCAAGACAGTATAATGAGTTACTTTATATTATTTTTATAGGAGTAGTTAGCTAGTACCATCAAATCATAGAATCATAGTATGAATTGTAATTAAAATTATAATTTATCCATAGCAACATGATATTTACAGTCTACCTACCATATATCCATTGGCAGTATAAATTTATGAAGATTATTAAAATTTTTTAAATGAAATTTATTTTATTTGCCTTTCTTAGATAATGTTAATTATATTCAGGATACATGTTAAATTAATGTCTATTAGCTTATTTTTGTGTGTTTACAGTCATTTATAAGCCTTGTTGATATTTATGGAATTTAAATTATTATTTTTTATATATTCTGTAATCAGTAATGTTTGTGAAGTAGCCTATCATTTATAAGAATTTATCAAAGGAACAATCTAGTAAGGCAATATATTTAACAGAACCACTTTCTTTGCAATATAAAAACTGAAAATACTTGAACAATCTGGAGACTTGCAGGAACATTGTTCTAAAACATTATATATCAACTATTTTTCAAGTTCACATTGTCTAATTTTCTTAATATCCAACTTACCAATTTGATATTTTCCACAAATTATTCTATAAAAAGTCAAGCATACAAATTTGAAAAATAGTAATTTCAGTTTTGAAGGACTGATGTCAGTCTGCAGCATAGAATAGCTATTTAACCAATAAACCATTTTGCTATAGAATAAAGACATTTAACGTGATGTCTATATATTTAAAATTTCAACACATAAGAATCATGATAAGACTCTTGCTAATAACCTTTCTCTGCACAAGTGACATATTATTTGTACTTGTTGGAGCTTTGTTCCTAATTTTAATTAAATAACTAATGTTTAAATTTTTATTCCCGATTTTATTTTGCATAATATTGTTTAAAGAATAAAATTTGAGCATTGAAAAATGTTAGAGCTAGAAAAATGTAGTGTCCTAGGAAAGTAGAGCATAGAAATCTAGAACAGTAGCCTTGAATCTCATTTCATATTATTAGTTATTGTAGACTGTCAGTCCTCAATTTGAGATTATTTTTAAAGAACAGCATCAGTAGAAAAGAAATTGGTAGAGGGAGTTAAAGAATTCTCTTCTATTAAAAAAAAAAAATCGCCAGGTGGCAGTGGCTCATGCCTGTAATCCTAGCTACTGAGGAAGCTGAGATTTGAGGATCGCCTTCAAAGCCAGCCCAGGCAGGAAAGTCCGTGAGACTCTTATCTCCAATAACCCATCAGAAAACTGGAAGTGGCGCTGTGGCTCAAGTGGTAGAGCACTAGCCTTGAGCTGAAGAGCTGAGGGACAGTACCCAGGCCCAGAGTTCAAGCCCCATAACTGACCAAAAAAAAAAAACCCACAAAAATCAAAAAGATAACCAAATCATAATCTCAGTAAAAAAAGCTTTACTTTCAATACGAATAATTAGCAAAATCGCATTGTTAAATTTGTTGTTCATTATTCACTCAGTTACCAACTTACTAAATGCCTTTCTAGTAATTGCAAAATATACAAGGTTATAGCCCTATTTCTTTGTGAAATACAAATATTTTCAATAATTTGTAAAGATGTTAAACTATGTTTATATCCTAAGCTATAATGTAAATAATATATTATAAATGTTGAAGGGTATCAAAAATGTAGACTAGAGTAATGGTTAATACGATATGAACTGGACCTTGAAAATTGTACAGGAATTGCTTAAATAAGAGAAGAAATTTAAAAAAAAAAACTTAGGAAGGTGTATATGGGAAGGATTCCTTTATTAGTAAAAACACTATGTTGGCACAAAAGGAACATTTGTGTGGCAAATCATTAGTTAAATAAGATGAGACCAGATAATGGAAAGCTTTACATGGCTAGCTGAGGTAAATCCTACAGACTGCAAATTATTACTCATATTTCCCAAAGAACTGTATCACTTTCTCTGAAATCTTATTTTAAAAAAATAGACATTTGTTCTCTTTTATGCTAACACTCCAGACAGACTCTTAAGCTTACTTCTAGGTAACAGCTTTTGATAGGTAGAAATAGGGGAAATTTGCCAACAATGATAACCTAAAAGTGATAGCTACAAACTCAAATCTTTGATCTATTTGAATGTGTACAGTGCTCATGTTTATTTAACAGAGTTTTAAACATAAGTTGGAAAAGTGATCGTTTGAGTAATGTTCCTTAGTAGGCTCATAATATATAAATTTTGAAATTTGAGAACAACCTTTGAGGTTTGTTGTTTATTGCTGTGTTTGCTTTGTCTGAAATATTAAAGATTATTGTTGATCTATTACTGTGGACTTGCTTTAAGACAAGCTGTATTTATTTTTACTTCTTTACAGTAATATTGTGTAGTTCAGCAAAACTGTTACCTGTTAGCAAGATTTCACCTTATAATTTGTAGTAACTTTTTGTACTTACTCCTCAAAGCTTGATTGTATCAACATTGAACCAAATACTTCTTGTTAAAATCTTAATTTTAAAATTACTTTGATATTTCCAAGATCCTCTGTCTTACAGTTATTAAAATACTGTTTTTCTGCAATAAGTAATTCAGCCTTAATGTCTGAAAATTCTTAAGCAGACATTCAAATTACATAAATAAAAAGTATATTATACTTTTCCATTTAAAGTGGAAATGCTATTAGTATTGACTGAATCTATTGTCTTCACTATTTGAAAATTGAAAAATGATTTTTAACAGAATGTGTACTTTGTAAATGTTAAATATTACAAATGTATTAGTAAACTGCATCTGTTATATGGATATTTAATTACATCTTCATGGTGTATATCATCCAAAATTTTAATGGCATTTAATTCAAAATCACTAAGCTTTAACAACTAAGTAGTAAATGATAGAAGCATTTTGCTGACAAAATATTAAAGATTCAAGCTTTGTACATTTATATTGTACATTGAAATATTTCTTAGAGTTTTTTGATACATTTTTGTGTGGTTAAAAACAATCAATACCACTGTTCTGTCAGTCTAATGAGTAGAAACTTTTAATCTGAAACTATTTCTATAATATACTTCTGTTTATACATTTATAAGAGCAAGTTTTTCTCCTAGTATTTAAAAAGATCAGCTGAGACGAAAATATATTCATTGTTAAAATTAAATGTTAAAGGCACTTACTTTTTATGTTTAAAGGTCATCTATATAAAAATAGCTAACAGACTGTCACATCTTTATTTAAAAACTAATTTAGAAATTCAACCAAGAAAATAATTTACTGTGACATTTAAACAGTCTTGTCCTTTGGTGCACAAATATATAATTTTCACTTGTTTATTGAAAATACTAAAATCTCACTTATTATCTGATTATAATATTTAATAAGCAAACATTTAATTATCAAAATATATCAACATACTCTCGAAGTTTTAATTTTTTTCATTCTTGGGGTTCCAAAAAGGATCAGGATTATTAAGTACAATTTAGATGAATACAAGTTCAGTTATTAATACATGCTTAATACCTCCTTTACATGAAAATCAAAAAGAAAATTAATGATGTGTTTAACAAATCACCTTAATACAAGTTACCACAAATTTTGAACCACTTGATAGCATGGTATTTGCTGTTCTTTGCTGTACTTAATGATTTTGTTATGAATGTGTTTCCAGGACAAGGGGGCTATCACAATTGCCCTATAGCAATTCCATGTTGTTTTCTATTCTGATGCAAATAGAAAAGCCCTATGCAACTAGCATTTTGGGCTTGTGTGGGTTAATGGACCTTGGTTCCTATCTATACTGAAAGAGTCTCTAGTTAACTCATTTTAGTCAACAACTTCATTATTAATCTGAGACTACTGTGGGACAGACTTTTTAAAATGTTGAATGCTTTCAGAATTTTGTAAAATAGCATTGTCAGAGGTGGGAAAATATAACATTTAGAAGAATGAAGTTATTCACATGTGCTCCAACATAGTATTTATTGCACATAAAAGAATATGTTAATGCAATTTTAATAACTGAAAATATGGTCTTTCTGGAGAAATAGCAAGAATTAATTACAAAAAGCCAAAATAGAAGATAAAGGATTTGTAGCACTTAAAGAAATGTAGATTCACATCTGACTTTAGACTCTCTCCTATTTTTGTATGATTGAGAAACATCTTGGTTTTACTCACCATTCAATCTAGTTTTCTTCAGACTATCTTAAATTTGAATGTAAGTAGGATAAGGAATATTTTTGAGGAAGTAACATAAAAAGATCCAATAAAATAAGAACCAATCTCATTTACTAGAGGGCAGCATCTTAACCAGAAGCTTTTCTATTTCTTATCCTTTCCTTTACTCATATACGTTTTTCTGTTCAGATCTTAAAAGCAAAATATGACTTCTGGTGATTTTATCTGCTTTTCTTCACACTGCTGAACCTTTAAAGTTATGCTTTTGCTCATATGTAAGTGATTGTGATGCATATCTATCAAGAAAATCATAATGGAGACTTATCTGTATACTATGAAATCCTACCCCATTTTGCTTAGCAAATATTATCTACTAAAGATACCACTTAAGCAATGTTGGTTGGCTAAGTGAACAAATGGACACTTTTTAAAACTCTTTACAACTTTTAAAATCTCTTAACATCACATATAGCTTAAGGTTGCTCTAATAGACCAAAAAATTCTGAAATAGCTTAATGATTTGTTCAACAGTCATAAGGTCGCTTACAATATGTTTTATATACAACCTATACAAGAGTTTAGAAGTGAACAAAGAATATGACTCAATATTTTTGTGATTATTTTGAACAGCGGCAACAATGTTATACTCTTCAAGTTTATTAAATTTACTATTTAGCATAAATATATTTAGCATAAATATATCTTGTTATTTTTTAAAGTGCTATTAATTACGTGTTTATTAATATGAAGTTAATGTTTACATTTTCAGACGGGCTCTAACTTAATTAAAATTAATATTTTAGAAGAGAATGTGATATTAAGAACTCTGAACTGCAAATTTAATTACTTTTATGTATGGACCCTAAATTCATATGGAATCAACTTCTTGGTGATATTCAACATATTAAGTAGGTGGATACTTTTATCCAAAGTAAACTTCATTTCACCACCTTGTCAAATCTCCAGCTGTATTCATTGATAGGTAAATGACCTTCTTTCAGTTTTACTCATCAGATTTCTGGAATTTTATTTTGACATCTCTTTTCCCCCAGGAAATCAAGAGGGAAAGAAATGAGGCTACTATTCATGAATATGGTCAGGATACCTTTAGTGCCCATGTGAATTTTATCTGTCACCATCATGATTTCAAGTCATGACTTTATTTTTACATGCTTATGCATGCATATTTACATGCATTAGTTACCTGATTGATCTTAAATTCCATTAACTTTAATTGAATAAGAGAAAACTTTGTTCATAGGATTTTGTTCTCCTTATGTTACATTTTGTTTTGTTTTGTTTTATTTAATAATCAGTTTAAGGCTTGTAAAGGTTGATTTGCTCCTGAACTGCTTTGTTCCCAGACATTGCCATCTTCCCCAACTACCACCAAGTCCTCTCCATCTGATCCCATGACCACCTCCAGAGCTAATCAGGTACAGTATCATCCTATCATCTTCTCCATACTTTCACGGGTGATGCCTGCAAACTGGAGAAAAAGATACTGGTGGGTTAAGGATTTATTCGTTCATTCACATATATACACCATAATCCGATTCCAAATAACTTGAAAAACAAATATCAACTAATTATTAGAATTTATGTACATTTTAACAAGATTATATTCAGATATGGATTTAGTTAGAGTATTGAATCATTCCCCTAAAATTGCCTTTTTGGAGCTCTGATGATTAGTTATTGAGTTGGTATTTTAATCCCCCTCAATATCTCCTCTAAGAATTATTGGTATGTAAGTTAAAGGTATCTTAAGTGCAAAAAACAGTTACTAAAAACTGAGCAAAGGTATATCTTTAAAAGTGAATGCATTATATTGGAGGCATGCCTTCCTATGTAAACAGTATTGGTGACAAACATTTATAGTAATCTAATCTTAATGAAAATGATACATGTAATAAGTTTAATATTGTTTAATAACTCTGGAGATGGCATTTTATTAATATTTAAGAGAGTTTCAATATTTTCGTTGCTAGAGTGGCAAACTGCAACTAGAAATAAATTTTATTAGTTTGATTTGATGATTGTCTTGGTGCTAAATATTAACAGGTCATTTTTAATAAATGTAACTGTTGCTTAATCTATTAAAGGAATTAAACACATTTTCATTTTGTCTGAGTTGAGTTTCATTTAGGTGAGAAATATTTTTTTCTTATTTCTACTGGCATTTTTCCACTAATTCAAGCCTTATGGGATCATTCAAACAACAAAAGCTGTTTTAAAATGTATTTTTATTAATTTTCCAACAAATTATTAACTTTGAATTATGTTTGTTACATACATTAAATTTAGCATGTTACCTTATGAAGACTCTCAAGATTATTTTGCTCACTTTCTATTGCTACCTTAGATAGAATCATATTACAATAACATGGAACAAAACAAAACAAACAAACAAAAACCCCAAAGTGTTTAGTATGTTATTCAACAGTAAAAGCTTGATTTACACTTTATGAAATGTCATTCCCTTCAAACAAAAGTACTTTATAATACTCACATTTTGGTTCTAATTAATTGGTTAATAAAGTACATTTCTTTGGTGACCAACCCAGAACTTCTCTTTGAAGGAAATAATAATACATAGTGAATCATATTTGTATTATGTACACATAGACTTAAAAGTGTATGTAAGTGTATATGTCTTGGCCTTTTCACATAAGCTTTAATTGTATAGTATAGAAACATTGGAAAAAATATTTGACTACTTTTTTAATGTTTCTCTTACACTATATCATTGTTTTGTTTCCAAAGAAAAGCAAGAAAAATCAACACAACAGCAACAAAAATGAAATTAATGATTTTTCCAAAGTATCAAGCTAAAATCCCGCCACTTAGAAAATAACATTTTAATTGTTTCTATGTAACAGATTTATGAAGATGTACATTGTTATAAAATGAGTTCTTCAAAATATAATTATGTATACTAAAGTTTTTATGTTGCTGTGTATTTTCCTCCTTTGTATTTGCCACTACGTTCAACTCTCCAAAATTGAATAAGGTTTTGTTAATTTGAAATAGTCAAGGATGATCTTAATATTCTGTCAGCTGTACTCAAATATGTATGTTATTCGTACCCTATTTTCTTATATTTGTTATGTGAAGAAGAATGATGATGTCTCCTGGATAACATGAAGCAAGATTTAAAAGAACAGGACATAACACTAAAATTCACCGAAAAGTATCAACATTGACTTTATGTTATTTGTAATTATTTTCACATTATTTCCTGGCAGATACTATTTATTTGGTAGAGAGAAGGAATTTGTTTTCTTGTTGTTTTTGTTGTTGATTTTCACTCTAAATTATAGAGGTCACAGTTGCTTCTTACAAATTTTCCTAGTTGATTTTGTCTCACTATACTGACATCTGTATTATTGGGGCAGGAAAATATTTCTATAAAATAATCTTATACTTTACATAATTAAAATTTGGACATATAAGAAAATAGCTTTTATAACAGATTTAAATTTAGTTTTTTCTTACCCGCTATTCAACAAATATGTCTTGAGTTTATAGCTGACAAAAATGGATCAAAGTCAGAGATGTCTCTTTTAGATTAACAATCATTGTGTACGTCTTATAATACTCTTCTCTATTAAAAGTATAGCCAGATGCCAATGGCTCATGACTGTAATTCTAACCACTCAGGAGGCTGAAATTTGCAGATTGTGGTTCTAAGCCAGCCCAGGCAAGAAAGTCTGTGAGTCATTTCTCTAATCAACCACCAAAAAAAGTTAGATGTGGAGCTGTGGCTCAAGTAGCCTTAAGCACAAAAGCTCAGGGACAGCACTCATGCCCTGAGTTCAAGCCCAGAATTGGCACAAAAAGGTAGATCAAAGCTTTTCCTACAAGAACTACAATAAGTCAGTATTAAATAATGACAGCCAGTATCTGTATTTTAATCAAAATTATGTTATGATTGAGTTCTATTTTCCTGAATAGCTTGTGTTATAAACTAATGTGTTAAAGAACTAATGAACTATAAATATTCAATCATTCCAAAAAATATAAAAGTAATTCAAAGATTAAGGTTGGTCTACAGATCCAACATTTTAAAACTCCTTCCTATCTAAACAGTTGTGTTTAGTGCATGAATTTTACTTTCTTTAAGTTCAAGCCTCCTAACATAAAGTACAGTAATGTGCAATAATAATTTTTTCTTCAAAATTGAAGGATTATTATATAAGAAGCTTTATAAGATGGTAACTAGAAATCAGCACTGGGAGTGATACCAAATTACATATGATCATTCTTGTTCCATTCCTTGCTGAGTAACCTTGATCCTCAAATTCCTTACCTGAAACAAAAAGTAGAACTTGATAGGGTTGACATAAGGAAATGCAGAACTAATTATTTAAAGTGATTATGTAAAAGTTTATATTTTACAATGTTTTAGTGTTTAGAAGTATTCTTTTATCAGTCTTACTTAAATTATTCTGTAATTATTTTTCATGGAAGTACTAAATTGTTTTTTACTTAGTAATCACATTGCTCCAACTTCCCCACTGAGATAATAAAAGTAGTAGAGCCTCTAGTGGGGTATGTAATCCTAAATTACTTAGAAGGCTGAGATCTGAGGGTCACAATTCAGTGCCATCCAAGGCAAGAAGATTCATGAGACTCTATCTGCAATTAACTACCAAAAAAGACGTGGAGCTGTGTCTCAAGTAGTAGAGTGATAGCTAGCCTTGCAAAAAAAAAAAAAAAAAGGTCAGGGGTAGCACCCAAGCCATGAGTTCAAGCCCAGAACTGGCATAAAAAAATAATTAAGGCCAGTGGCTCATGCCTGTAATCCAAATTACTCAAGAGGATGAGATCTGAGGATTGTAATTTAAAGCCAGCCTGGCCAACAAAGTCTGTGAGACTCTTATCTCTACTAAACTACTCAAAAAAAGCCAGAAGTGGTGCTGTGGCTCTAGTGGTAGAGTTCTAATCTTGAGCAAAAGAAGCTTAGAAACAGCTCCCAGGCCCTGAGTTCAGGCCCTAAAACATACATACATACATACATACATACATACATACATACATAAATACAAAACGAATAGTTTTATGAATAATATTCTTTTTCAAATGTTTTAAATGAATAATTAAATGGGAAATTCTTATGTACTGCATTTTAAATGTGAACTAAATATTAAGATACAGCAAGTAAAATTGTATTTTTTTTCCTTTTGATTCCAGTGCTAGTGCTTGAACGCGTGGCCTCACTGCCTTTCTACTTACTACCACAGGCATTTTTCCTGTGATCAAAGCCCATTCATTGCAAACTTACAATAAATCTCAGCTTTTCCTTTAGAAAAGGGTATTATCTATCAAGGTTTTGCTCTCTGTGGGAGTATTCCAAACAGCAGGCAAACAGCAGGAGTTTTCAGGTTCCATATTTAAAAGACTGAACAAAACTTTTTTTTTATTTTACTAAATAATGTGTTTTATTATGACATTTTCCAAGATGTAAATATATATATATATTATTATATTTACCCCTGTCATCCTCTCATTTCTCTCCCACTGGTTACTACTACAAAATAGTCCACATTTTACATTCATATCTTTTTGCTTATTTGTATATATAGTTTCTTCATTTGAGAAAAATTAAGAAATATTTGTCTTTCTAAATCTAGCTTATTTTGTTAATTTGATGATACCCAGTTAAAATAATTTTCTTGCAAATGCCATACTTTGATTTTTTTTCATGGCTGGATAATTTAACATTATATATATATATACACACACACACACAAACACACACACACACACACACACACACACACACAGTTCATTTATGTAGACACTTAAGCTGATTCTATAACTTGGGTCTTGTGAATAGTGCTTCAATGAGCATGGATATGTAAGTATCTATATTTTTAGATTATTTTGTGTATTTGCTAAGGAGTAGTAGAACAGAATCATATGATAGTTTTGGTGTTTTTACTTGTAGTTTTGTTGTAGTAACTTCTGTATTGATTTTCAAAGTGCTGCACTAATTTAGATTCTCATCAACAAAAACTTCAATGTCACTTCTACCTTGTTTAGTCTTTTGTAGTAAAATGAATGAAAGTGTTACCTCTACTTTTGTTTTCCAGTTTCTTTCTATTCCAAAACCTACTTCAGTTTGTCTCCTTTATTCTACCACAACTGTTTGTCAAACAAATCAGTGTTGTCTACACTGCTAATTGCAGCTATTTGTTTGAAACTACATGTTACTTGATGTACCAACAGTGATTACTGCTTCAATAATTTATATCATCCATACTTTTTTTACATGATTTCCAGCATACTACTCCTCCTGTTCCTGTACCATGCTATGTTGCTTCTTTTCAGAATACCAGTTACTTAATCCAGATAGCCCTATATACTCAATGTTGGAGTGCTCCAAGTCTTGATATGTGAGACTTTTTGTTATGGTAGTTCTTACTGGTGG